AAACGTACAGTACGGAAACGTCTGACACACTATGTATAAAGCGTAGTGGAACACGCCCAGCTTCTGAAGTTTCAGAATCCAAAGGGCTTTCCAAGTTGGTAGCTCAATAACAGCCTTTAAAGAAAGCAATCAAGCATGGATATGAACACATCGGTAGCGTGTAACATTTCACCGTGAGAAGACTTAAAATGCGCTACTAAAGCACATAAACAAGAAAAGTTACTAACAAGAGGAGACCATTCAGCACAAATTAATATGCATGTCCTGTACAACTGTCTCCTGAAGATAATGACCTGTTAACCTGTATACAGCACTATTAGAACATGCAATATTATACCTGTGTCACCCATAATATTTTGCACATCAAACACAGATGGAACAAATATTAAACTTTTCCCCCTAGATCCTAGAGGAACAGGTAAAAGAGGGCTAGATCGACCAAAAACAAAAATGGTCAGGTGCAGAGCCCAGCCAAAGTGCATTAGAATAGCAGTGGTCACCCCCGACTTTCTGAGCACCCAAGAGAGGGTCAACAGAGCAGCAGCGTTGCTCTGGCATGTAACATCTGATTCCTGGCGGACTAGGGATCTCACATGTATACCACATCTGTGCACCAGTATGCTCACATTCCCTTGTGTTGAGTGGGGATGAATGATCAAGAAAATGCACAACGGTTCCTGGCGCAGTGATAATCAGTAGCCCTCACAACTGATCATTTTCCATGATCTTAAAAAGAGACTTCGAGGCAGGAAAAAATGCGTACAAAGACTTGCACTGGCACAGGGGTACGGAGGCAGAGGTTAAGGGGAGAGGAAAAGGACAATAAAGGCCAGGCTGCTTAGGAAGAATGAAAAATAATAAATGCATCAACACTGCCTCGAGACAAACAGAAATTAAAATAGGAACATTAGTCAACTGGTCAGGCAACTGAAGTGATTGGTCCCCAGTGCGCTCGCCTGGAGCCAACTTCTCATTCCAAGAGGGAGAGAACGCTCAGAACTTCCCAGGGCTCGGAGTCTGCCCAAAGAAATGTGCTCCCAATTAAACAGGAGAAAGCGATTATTGTTATTAGTATTATTTTTATATCATAAAGGGAAATGGCAATAAAAGGCCAAACTTATTATATGTTTTGTGTATGCATGCTCGCTTGGGGCCTTGTTTGCTAAAGTAGTCGGTTTGAATGCCAAGGAGGGGAATAAAGGCAAAAGAACATTCTGTCAGGAGTCTGCAATCTGAGGCACACAGGGTCCAGCAACCTAAAGTACTAGAACACAGGGCAAGAGTGAATTCACCTCCCAGTCAAATATTTGGTCTTTTGCCACTGTTTCTCTGTTTCATTACCCTGTTTTAACCTTTGTATTTGGGGGCATTTCTATTGGAGACGGGAATAACCAATACCATTTTCATGTATCTCAGAGCCCCCCCCAGAATGCCAAACATCCATTAGGATGCAAAAGCTAAATGAAGAAAAACTGAAGCATTCTCACTGAAGCATAGTATGAGTGATATTAATGTTCAAGGCAGTGATATCAGGTTCTATATTAAATACATTCACACAAAAGTAGGAAGAACCGGCAAGGAAACACACTGATCCCTAAATCTTTAAAAAAAAAGGAAAATTCCAACCAGGACATTCTTGTCAAGTCCATGAAAGATTTTAACCATAAGAAGTAGGAAAAATGACAAAGACAGTATGTTTGATTTTAGTTCTCATGCAATTATTATTTTGTGCTATTTGCAGAAATAACTACAAAGAAAAAAAAAATGTACAGTAAGCTCTTAAACCAGGTCACTTCTCATTTCATGAGAGAGTTTCAAACTTGAAATTCTTTTTATTAGTGAAGGATTTCAACCAGGAAAAACAAGATGGGTCAGGTTCATCCAGCACCAATTCAGAACTTGATTATGCTTTTTCAAATGAGTACAATAAGAACACATATCTGTGGTTCAAGGAAACAATCAGAAGATAAATTCTGGTACCCCATCCTGAATAATATGAGACTGCCATGGTCATTTAAACCCCAGCTGGAAAGGAGGGGTTAATTCAGACTGACAACACTAAACTAAAACATATTTATCTAAGCCTCTCAGGATGGTTGTGTAACAGATAAACTTCATCCTCCCCCAGTCTTTATTAGTACAACAGCAACTCTTAAGGGGCCATAGGCTGTTGCCTGCATGCAACTGGAGGAAAACTCCAGCTAATTAATTTATAATTTAATTATTTTACAATTTTTAACATAAGAGAAGCAAGATCTCATTTCTGTGAGCTCCTGAGGCTAGAGGTGACAAGCAATCAACTTGCAACTCACGGTCATACAGCTATCAAAATACATACAGTCAATGACTGCACTCCATCACATCTTTAGATACAAATAAAGGTTATTTTTAAAAACCCTTAATGGGTCTAATATTTTGAGACAGTGATTGGTAAAGCCCTACTCAGGATGACATTGGGCTCCAGGATACTTTAATGCCCAAATGCCTGTTTTTTTATTCCAGCAGGTATGGGTATGAAATGTACAGTAGGTTGCCTTGGAATGATGTTTGTATTGGCATGCTATATACTCAGAAACTATAGTAATTGAATCTCGAATGCAATTAAGGCTATCAGTCACTAATTAGATTTGTTAGAAGACAGTTCTGGGGTGCCTTACTGTGAGAACTGAGAACTTAGATTAATAAAACAGACGGCACAGTTAAAACATTCTTAAGGAAATAGCAGCAATGAAATCAGATCACTGAACATCTGGACATCAATCTGTTGAAGTTCTCTCAGAGATATAATAATACAATTTAAAACATTTGCAAAGAAATTATACCAAGTTATTCTAGTAATGTTAGTCTTGCAATAAGCTCTATTTCTGCATTGAATTACTCTACATGCCACCAAGTCTGTTAAGTTGCTTTTGATATTAATAGTATAACACTTTTTATAGCACCTTATTATGTAGGCAACATTCACAAAACTATGCATACAAAATGCCACTTAATTTAGAGCTTTATGTAAGGTGCCAACAAGTATCACTGTGGTTAAAAACAACCACCACAAAACAAACATCTGCTGTAAGACTTTAAAGGCAAACATCTAGAAGTCCAGGCTGATCTGCTGCTCTCAAGCAGAGAGACAGATGCATTTCTGACAAGCTGCTCCTGCACACCCCCTGAAACCACATTTAAGCATTTTACAACTATAATTGTTATTTAAAGAAGGCACAGAGTATCGGGAAAACAGAAACTGAGGCATTAACTGTGGGCAATGCTGGGATGAGCCCTGTTTCTTCTAGCTGTCTGCTGCACTCAGTACTGATCGGGTAGATACACCATGTGACAGCTGCCTGTTACAGAGCACGGGGCAGACAAGGCTTTAACCCTGGAAGAGCACAAACAAGATGTCAGGGCCACGCTAATCCAGCAGAAAACGTGCAGCACCGGCATGTGAGCTTTGTGCATTAAGAAGGGAAAAATCCTATTTCGGGACTATTAGACTATTACTGCCTCTTGTAACCTTCCAATGTGTGATGATAACAGAATCTGTTACGGTATGTGTTTGACAGTCACTTTCCTGAAGCTAGGTTCTGAGTTTTATTATCTGGTGGGGGCAGAAACGCAGCAAGTGTTTCTCAAGCCGATTGCTCTGCTCTACGATACATCCATCAGAAGTGCTCCTTTTCTTCTTTCGCATTGAAGGGAGGCATGGGGTTAAAGTACAGAAAAAAAAAAACTTTTAGCATCTCAATAGCACATTCTCTCATGCCAAAAAAGAAAAAGACTGGAACACTAATTGAAAAATCTAGTGATTTTTTTGGTACCCTCCACCTCTCCTAAAATTAATCTGGAGTTGATCATCGTGGTCTCCAAGCAGCCATTAGCTTGATAAACAGTTAAAGCAGCATTAGGAGCTGACAGCTCGATCAATGCTAGATATACGAGAAATCCACAAGCAGCCCCAGCGAACTGGCGCCCCCCACCTCCTCCTCTTATTCTCCCTTCATTTAACTAGCACCTCATTGTAACACTGTGCCCCCTGTTGCTCAATTGATCCTACAATGTCTGCTTAAATGGTGGATACCCCAGAGACGGCTTGATAGCCTGATTACAAGGACATGAGGAACTCTGCCATGCACAAGCTCCTGTTTTGCTCAGGCCTCACGATTCAGTCCGGCTAACAATGGGAAAACATAGTCCTTGCTGTTGGTTTAGTTTCCAAACGTTACTCATTAAGAGAGGTGGGTAAGAGTAGCCCATTTTCTTCCTGTTACATCATACTTGTCCACCCCCCCTTCCCAAACACATACACACTCCCCTTTCTTTCTTTTATTGCCCATTAGGTCTCTGTATCTCTGCTATGTGCTTTGCATTTCTCTCAGCGAAGAGTTTAAGAAATAGGTCCCGAGGTGGCCGTTTTTCAGTCACCTCACTTAACGCGGCTTAATCCATGGTTTCTGCACACAGAAAGGTGCAGATGATGAGGGCAATTAATGCAAAAACTTGCCTGTACCACTAAGACCAGGTAATGAGATGGAACATTGCTGTAACAAATAGCTTGAAACTGCACACAGTGGCCTACGGCAAAACCATGGCAAAACGGAAACATGGGCAGCAACAAAGCTACTAAACTAATAATGAGAGTGACAATTCAGTGAATGAGAAACTAATCTTTTTTTGCTAATTTTTTTATAAACTAATCTTGATGCAAATCTACCTATGATGCAAAGTAAAGACAGGGGAAAGACTTTTCCCTTGTTACGTCACACACTGCTACAGGCAGTATTTTCAAACTAAAAGCTCCGTTTCGCAACTACAAAAAAAAAAAAATCACCTGACAAATTATTTCCAGGAAAGAGCAAAAAGTATTTTGAAAGTCAGAAATGGAAAATGGTCAACATCGCTAGCATTCAGCAAGACAGGACAATGAACGCAAGCCCGCGGTTTCTTTTGAAATGGATTCCACTCAGATGTGCCCGTGCTCCCAGCCTGAGGGCGGTGGTGAGGCCTACCTGTGCTGATGCCGGAGTTGGCGATGACAGTGGCTTCGCTCCACTGGTCAGCACTGGACACAGAGTAGGAGCGCTGGTGCATGCCATCGGGCCGGCTGTTGAAGGACACCAGGCTGATACCGCTGGCCATCTGAGATGCTGAGGTGCTGCTGGTCACTGACCCTGCAGGGCACATGGCGAAGACCATGAGAGAGGCCGGCAGGCAAAGTGAGAGAGTGCGTGTGTGTGCGAGGAGGGTGAGAAACTTTCAGGCCTGGAACAATCTACAACCGATTCAGCCATCCATTTTTAACTGCTTTATCTAATACAGCGTCCTGGGGGAGTCCAAACCTATCCCAGCAAGCAACGGGTGCAAGACAGGTAACACTCTGAACAGGACACCAGCACAAAGACACAGACACGCACTCACCCACACCAGGACCAATTTCTCTGAGGCGAACTCACTGACCAGTTTATCTGTGGACTGTGGGAGGAAACCCACACAAACACAGAAAGCACCCCAGCTACTGAACCCAGCACCCCAGAGCTGTGAGGCCCACCCAGAGATAGACCTACCTTCTCCTTTAACCCTTCGTAATTCTGTATTGCACTCTACCGCCGGCATTATTATCAATCAAATAGTTCTGTTTCGCTAGGTGATACAAGCAAATCTGCGGATAAATATATAAACTGATAAGAATGATAGAAAGTAAGAAAATTCCACTGTCATATTCCCCCAGAAAATGAAACTTCAGGAGGTTAAGAAAGCAAGAGAGTTTCAAAGTGCTTAATTAATGGTGGAGACAAAAGAAAGAAGTAGTTAATCCCTGAGGTTTGAAGAAAGGGCTGATGGCAACTGTAGTCACACTGTAGGAGAATTCTAAATCTGATTCACAATTAAATTCATGTTTTAATTAGGAATTACTGCGGTCTTAAAATTAATCAATTAGACATTGGAAGAGGAGAAAATGAGCCTGACGCTGCCCTAAGAATACCACATTTCTTCAGGCTCCATTTATAACAATGCAGGAGTATGACAAGCCCCTGCAAAGCATCATGGGAATCTTACAGAAGGGTTTTCCTGTGTCCATTTCTTCACAATACCGATAACACAAAGAGATATCCTCACTGTTACTGGAAAACCTAGAAACCTGCAAATGAGTGATGTACACCAAACCTAATTATTGTTGAACCCAAAGCATAACCTGACAGTACAGGGTACCAGCTGGGACACCACACCAATCTATTACAGGAGGAAAACAAACAAGCACAAGAAGAGAAACCAGTTGTGCCAGTATATATTTGGAAGAGAGAAAATAGAATCGCTGGTTAAAAACCTAGACATACAAAACATACAAACTCCACAAGAGAGGTTCTGCACAGTCCAGAATATCAGACCCAGGATCCAAGAGCTGTGAAGCAGCTGGGCCATCTGCCACACCCATGTTTGACTTTAGTCTTTCAAACTACAGTACCTCAGCTACTCAGTTTCAAAACCTCAGAGCTGCACATGCCTTCCCTCTCTTTAAAGGCCAAGGTTTTCCTTTTCTATGCAGAAACAAAATTCTATGGCAGTCTTCTCTACTAAAATTGTAGTCATTCTGTTTTAAGTGAACAATGAGTCCTAACGGATCTGTATTACCTGTCACAGTGGACTATTCTGAACCATACAAGAAGCACTTTAGTGTTATGGAGGAGTAGAGAGGAATAAATGGGGTTAATGACAAAGGTCACATGATGAGGAATTAATTAGACTGGACTGGTATCATGTACCAATCCAGAATGTACTATGAGTTTTTGTGATTGTGTGTTTGTTTTTCTAATCAATGTGAATTAAAGAGATAAATTAAGTTGGTTTCTTAGTAGCCAAACTAAACTATATAAATAAGTTGAAATTAAGATAGCAGAAAACACTGTTTAAGCCACCAATCTGAAAACTTGTAACTCTTGATTGTCTAAGATATACAAGACTTTTGCACTACAGTGTATATATTTCAACAAGAGGTACATATCCATGCAACACATCAACACTTCTGTACTAAATGCAAAATAAGCTGTTTGCACACCTAAGAGTTAGTTATCTCCAATAATTCCAATTCCATTAGATATAAGTATATATATTATAACTAATAACTATTAGATAACTGTTTGCTGTAATGCAAAACAAAACATTTGCTATGAAAAGCATCAATACTGGAGCACTGTATAGTAGGTATACTCTGCCTACAGTGTACACTTTGAGAACAAAAGATAGAAGAAGTGACACTTCTGCTAAAAATCAAATGACCAAACTAAGTCAGGCCATCCTAGCAGAGAGCGTTAATTAGCTCTGCTGGTTGACCACTGGGGTGATCTCTTCTGAAGGGGAGGTGTGATAATCACTGTATTGTCCTCTCCAGTCCACGTCTGATATTAGATAGATTAGCTTTAGCATTGCTTTATACAAGAGAAGGTTTACTTGCATTTTCCTTGTCAAAACCGGTTTGCTTTTAGTTAAACTGAATCGCATTTTCCACTACAGCTTACCACATAATTACCTTGGAATTTACTCCAATGAATCTAAACAGCCCAGCAGAGAGTCTTCCTCTTGAAATGTCACAAGTCACACTGATGCCTTCCCTGCCTTGTGTTGTGGCTTTTTTATTTCATTTAACAAGAGCTGGGATGGCCATCTAATTTTCAAATCAATTCCTAGGACAAAATCTTCAGTTGATTCGGTTTGAATAAATAGGGTGCATCAGCTTTTGCTTGAGAAACCCTGGAATTTAAGACAGAGTTTCTGAAGATTGACAATTCAGAAAAAATCCTATTTAGTCACTGCCCTGATATCCATTTTTGCCCCGGAAAGTCTGGGTTGTTCCGTCTTCAATGTTGTAGTATCAGCACTAACGTCTCACAGATTGTCAAAAAATGGGCTTTCTGGTCTGGTTGATAACTGTAAACATGTAAAACAGAAAAGAGGATTCTGCCACGTTAAACTGAGTGCCCCCAAACTTGATGCAACAGCCCAGTTTTCCTGAGCTCACTCTTCCCGATTTAAACAGCATTTTTTTAATAAGACCAAGCCAAGACACGTTCCTATCATCTTTTAACCAGGTTTGTGTTGCTTCTATATCAGCAAGAGGTGAAGGCCATCCACCCTAATAGGACGGGAATATAATTATCAGCTGAAATCTATAAGATCTTTTCTATTGTTTTGTCTTTAATTCTTGTTAACATGCCAGCAGTCCCGGAACCTTGCCTGCACTGGCCCTGTATTCTTTATAGCATAAATAAAACTGAGGTTAAAAACAGATTTCTCCCTCTTCCCTCGTCCTTTCTCGTGGAATGATGATCTTCTAATCTCTGCAAACTAAGTGACTAAGCTCATTTTAAACAAGCACTTAGAAGTAAAGCGCAAAAATGTATCAGTTTTACTTTGATCTATAGCAGTGTGATTTGTCTTTGGGTATATGATGTGCTGCTTCTGTCTGCCTACGGGAAATTCCAGCAAATGAAATGTCACGTCTCAATTTAATCTCCTTTGAAATGAATAAATAAGGTCCTCTTGGCTTTAATGAGCACCTTTGGTAAATGGGAACATTTATATAAAGAAAAAGAAGGGAACTTAACAAAAAAAAAAGAGGGGACAACTTGGATGGACCTAACAAGTAGTGCAAGTCACATGTGGGTTTAAAAAACTATATCGATTGCTCTGTTTGAGATGGCCAAAAGGGATTTAAGGTTTCGAAATTCATTGTAAGGTTTGCAAGTGAAACAAGTACAATGGCAGCCTGGAGAAGCCCTGCCTGAGATTGGAATGGTTTGGATTTAAGAAATAAAGCAGCTCCCAGCGGACCACACAATAGGGGGATAATGTATCCTTAAGCACAGCCAATGAGCTGTCATTCTGCACAGCCAATTACTTTTATACGTGTGTCACTCAAAGAGGAGAAATGAGTGGTCCCATTAGCTGAAACCCTTTTGGCGCTGCTCATAATGTACTCTGGGCTCATTAATCCAAGGGAAGAGAGCATTCCGCATGGACACGCGCGCACACACACTCGAGAGAGAGAGAGAGAGAGAGATGTAGATAAGGAAGAGGAGAGCAAGAGGGAAAAGTAAGACCCCTCTCTTCTCCTCTGCTGGATAAAACAACACTAGTTGTGAGACACACACGGTTGCAGCAATCTAAAACATACCACCCATTTAAAAACACTTGATTACAGTACTTTTATTTTCTTTTAGAAGAGTAGTGTTTCAAGAGTCAACCAGAGAACGTGAAAAATGTATTTTGCCCCTTTTCAGCACTTTCACTTCAGAATTTCATTTTTTTTAAATTGCAAAAAAAAGTTAGACATCTGACTTACAATAGGCTGATTGACTGCTGATTCTGAACTATAAGAAAAAAATAAGATTTTTCTACCAGCCTTGCTTAGACTTCTTGATCAAGACATTTTTTATTTCTTTCAATAAAAATGTCAAATCACGTGTGTCAATCTTCCCTTGTTTCTAAATGCAAAAACTATTTTTTACTTCATCATTCCTTATTGGTTTATTCACAAGGCACTAACATGGGACAAAGACATTTTTTGTCACAAGTTTTACTACATTCAAGAACTGTAGTTACAGTATACTACACTGTATACAAGAAGAAAACCGAAAAAAAATAATGTGCTACATTTGGGTAAAAGTACAGTAGGAATCCATCCAATTAATGCAAAAGTGATTGGACACAGTAATAAAAGACATTCTCAACACTGTAAGAGTAAAAATCCAACAAACGCATAAAAAATAAATTCCTTGTAGGTCTGTGGTGCACAACAGATGACCCACATGTGAAACTAGATATACCTTAATACACTTTAATGCATGAATACATTCGAAGAAACATGAAGCTGATAAATGAATGGACAATATATTATGGGAATCAAAATATAACTTGCATACAGTTCTTTCACAACAGTCAACACCCACAGCTTTCTGTGACCTCAGTAGCTTCAACAAAACCTTTATTCCATGTTTTTTCACTGCTTTGCTCAGTGTGCACACTCAGTACAACACAATCGCTCCCTCGCCCTCTAACTACCTCTCATTAGAGCCCATTTTTGGAGCTGGCTGAGTGGAGAGAGAAGTCTGATCATATTAATATTCATGACAATAATTAGTATTCTGGGTCACTGAATATTCATGCTATTAGTTTGGTCTTTCTGGCTCCCTTACATGACGCGAGGAAGGGGACTGCTCTGAGTCTGAGCAGGGCAGAGTGCTCTTCGGCAGGCTGCACTGGCTTGGCTTGCGTTAACCCACTGCTGTGCTGTTTGGGTTCCAGCATCTAGAACCTAGAGAAAACCTTCCCCCGGAATGGAACAGCATAAACCAAAACTGCGCCGGCAGAAAATGCAAAAACGATGGCCAAAGGGCGACACAAAACCATATTAGAGAAGATCATTAATCACAAGTGATTGATATCCGGCCATCTGGCCACTAAGGCTTTGCCATATTTGCCATTTGCATGATGCTCATCTTTGGCAGAGGTAATGATCCCACACAACAGCCAGGGGAAAGCAGACAGGCAGTTCACAAATATGTTTCTAAAAGCAATCACATGTGAAGGCAAGCATGTGCAAAACTGCATCACTTTACCATATTAGCAAATACAGTCATGGACTAAAGTCTCCAAATACCCGACCAAACTAATGAATGCTAATTTAATATGCATAAAGGTCAAGTCAACAATGCACATCACTTCATGTGCTTCCTTTACAGTGCATTTGAATTATATATCAGCTTTATTATATTTTATTTGACTGTGGCATTAAAACTGTGTTTTGAGCCCATTCAGTGTTAAGATTTACTTAAGACAGATGGAATCCATGCGATAAAAAAGTATTAAATGACGTTTACATCTGCAGCATCTGTAATGAGCAACGTGCACGTCACGGATATCTACAAGAACCTTCACGTGAAGATAAAAAATGCTAGCTTCTTATTAAGGGACAACCAGGGGTACCGAATTCTGTGCATTATAATGCATTACACCAGGACAAAAACAGACCTTTATAGAGAACTTCTAGAAATGAGCAGCCATGCAATCAAAGCTCCCATACTCAAGCTATATTCAAATTCACAATTTGGTGATATTATCCAACAGATAAAAGACAGGGCAGGGAAAACTGCAGACGATGCAGGTATTATCAGGACCTTGTTGAGCAATCGTGCTCTACGCAGTTGAGACAAGCCTCCTACCTGTGTTCTGTGCAATCTGCAGGTTGCTCATGTCCTTGGCGAGGCCGTTGGTCTTGGGGCTGGAGACGGGGGCGCAGGCGGAGATGGCACGGGGGGGCCTCTTGCCAGGCACCTTCACAGTAGTGCGGAGCAGGTCGATCTCCTTGCCATGGACGTTCTGCATGTAGTCCTACAAGGAGGCAGAGAGACACCAACTCTGTGAGGTCAGGATGAGCTGGTGCTCCCTGTGCACACCTGATCTTGGCCTGTATTGCTTCAGAATGGCACAGCCCTACCATTTTGTACAATACAAAGCAACTAATGATGCATTTCTATTTCTTTATACTTGACAAGGCAGCAGACTGGGCCTGGCTGCAGAAGCACTACCACAGTCAGGTTTGGAGGTAAGGCGACGACATGATTTCCAAGGAAAAGAGCAAGACAAACTGAGAGAAAAGTACAGCCGATGGAGCTTTGTCCATTGGGAAGACAGTATTCCTGTGAGATCGCCATGGAACCTTTTAATCACTTCAGTGTATGGGCTATTAAACAGAGGCGAAGGAGTGCTTTCTTGGAAAAACATCCCATGGTGAATTTATAAGACTTTCCTTTTTAAATGAGTCTCTGCAGAAGCCACAGGTCATTTCCTCCAGGAAAGACAACCATCCTGACACAACAGCAGACTTGTTTGTGGAGTTAACACATTTCAAACACAAATTCACTAAATGCAACCAATACAACAGGCATAGCTACAGATACAAACACAAGGAAGAGAGAAGAAAACTGATAAGTGGAATTAATTCTTCCTTTCAGAGAAATTAAAGCAGTGCCCATTCTTTTCTCAAAGTTAAAGCTCATCAGAAACTGCTTAAGGTCAATGTGGGGTGGCTGATGGTAGTGAATAAAGACCAGATTTTTATTTCTGGTGCCCAGTGATACACGGCACTGGAACACGGGATGAGCACAAGATACTCAGCACAGCCGCCATCTCTTCTCACACTCCCCTCTCCCTTCCCAGAACTGGTACCTGCTGCTGTGCTGTTGTTGCTCTTTGAGGCACTTCTGAAAAAATATTAACACTGCAGAGTGGTGAAACGGCGCTCCTTAAATTAACGAGGCCTGCTCCCTGATGCTCTGAAGTGCAAATATAACACCAGCCACGCGGGCCGCACTCCCTACTTCATCTGCGCTCAAATAAAAGACAATCACAGCGTCTGGCAGCAAGGACGGGCACAACACAGAAGCACTAAAAAGGATGAGGCTCTTCTTCACAGAAAAACCAGACGAAAGGGCAATTCAAAGCCAAGTGCTCTCAACGACGCCTAACAAGCCACAAGAGAGCTCTTCAGACCAGGCCCCAGAAGTGCCATCTCAGGCCCGCAACAGCCTGAAAGAGGTAATTGCATCCCGATTTGCATTTTGTGTTGTTCATCATCTGTACGTCGTAAATGGGGGAGCCTTATGGAGCTGGTATATTAAGGATTTCGTCTCTCCAGAAAAGACCAAATGTGATTTTTGGGAACGTGTTTGTGTTCAGGAGCTGGTGTGAGGACGCAGTTAGGAGTTCGTGGCCTATTGTAAAGTGGTGGTCTTGATAAAAGCTGCATGAACCTTTGCATAAAACTGTTTTAATGTTTAAATGTTTTCTGCTTTTTGGGAAGGGAGGGGGGGGTGTTACTAATTATGTTGCATCTATTGCCATCCACTTAATTAGCTGCATTAATGTGATTTCTTTTCGCATAGTCAAGCAATTAAGAGCTATGATTGAGTTTCATTCAATTAGCCTCAAACAAACACTCTAATTGATGCCTCGGCTGCAGATGAGATGTGATCAGGGAAAACCTGCTAGCTGCTGAGAACACTCGACAGGGCTGGGGGGGTGGGGGTGGGAGAGGACGCGCTCATCCCTTTCACCCTCGACAGGCAGTGGTTCGCTCGCCCTCTCCTCCCCACCACCCGGGCGCCACTCTCGTCCTCCGGTCCAGACCTTCTGCTCCACAGCCTTGAAGGCCACACAATGGCAGTGCCTCTGTCTCCTGTCAGAGCTGGGGCTTGTTCGCTGGACTACAATAAAGTGCTGCCCTTTAAAGCCTAACTCATAGAGCGAGCGACAATTTATTTCACGTCCGAAAAAGCACTGAAGACGTTTGTTTAATTGATGCACATTTTCCACCTGTGCTTGCAGGAGAATCTTCTACCACCTCTAGATTAACAAGCTAGAAACCTTCACTGAATGTGAGATTTAGCTCAGTTGTATGCACTACTGTAATGTTTACCAACTATAAAATCTATAACATCTCTAGCATTGTCAAGAGAAGGCTGTTACCAGCCTTTTACAAATATATCCCGAATTCTTTGTCAATTCAAACTTATCCTGAATGGAATGGCTTGGAATGTCTAGGAGCTGACAGCCCCAAACCTCTGGAAGTGCTGATAGGAACACACAATTAGAAGAAAACTCTAATGTGAATGTTTCCACCTTCAGTGACACATGGGGTGCTGTGAGAGCCAAATGAGAATCTTTGATGTACTCAGCTGTACTCTCTCATTGTCCATCTGTGTCTTCATTTGCCATCAAACCGAGAGCAGACAATAAGCATTTGTTAGCTCCATTGTGCCATTAGCGGCATCATTTAGATTTTAATTAACAATAACATTACAGCCCAATTCGAACTCAAGAAAGAGGGAGAAAAGATTCCATCACTTTAGGTCCTCCCCCGCACAGAATCTGTCCGTGTGTGCTAACAACGCAAGAAATACAGTAATTATGAGAGGCAGTTAGAGCATAATATTATACATCACAAACGTCAGCCATGAAAAATATGATACAGGGGTTCTATTTAATGCCATTCAATCAGTATAAGGCCTTTTAGTTAAATCCAGCAACAACATAAGAAGTCAACTGTAGTCATTCATCGACACCGGCAAAAAAAAAACAACTGCATCTCATCCATTCGCTGTGCTTGGTTTCCTGCTAAAAGGGTTTTTTTTAAATCATTAATATTTCTTAAAAATCTAAGTGACTGTTTAAAAAGCTATTCTTGTAGTATAAAAACAGATAGTTGTGGTTTGATTTACAAAGAGCAACAGTTTTAAAAGTGTTATTTAAAAAAGAGTAACAGTTAAATCTAGAACTTATTGCACTGATAAAACCAGCATAAAACTAGGAGTGTTCTTTAAGTCTTCAGGTCCAAGTATATCCAGTTCCAGTCAAGGTCCATTATCAAATGACCTGTTTGTCAGGTGAAAGACCTGTTGGTCATAATCTAATGACAGCCAATGACTGAACGTATAAGGCCCTAAGTAACCCGCAGAGTCAATGTGGAAGCTCTGGAATAAATCAATTGTATAACCTGCTTTTTACAAATATATTCCAATTAAATGTCAACTATTCAAACAAGCAATAATGTGTTTCTTCTTTTTAAACTTGGCACCAAATGCAAACAGTGATAAATATTTATTTCAGGTGCCTGAATTTCAGCAGAAAGATTTAACCTGTACCAAGACTGTTTAGAAATACTAACCAAAAGACGGCATTCTGAGTGGAGTTCAGTCCCTCCTTGCACCCTGCGTTTCTGGAACAGATACTGGGGTATGAAGACTCTCACTGTGATTTAGAAGCTTTCCAATAAATGGACAGAAATAGGAAACAGCTGCCGTTCCATAACCAAGACGACAGATACGGACTGTTGTTTATTGTGAGCGCTATCTGGAGCTGTGTTTTTAAACCGGACACATTTAAGTGCACCCCAGCAGAGGGACATACTTAGGCGCTGGGGCAACTCCGGATTAGCCCCCAGGCCAGAGATCGGAATGGAACTAATGATCTGGAAAACTTGAACAAAAAACAATAGGAATAAGTAGGGGAGAAGAAAGTGCTGACTTGCTGTTGCTTACAGAGTTCGGAGGCGTACCAAACCCAGCAAGCCGCGGAGTCTGCAGAGCCACTCTTAATTTCCAAGCCATGAAAAACAAGCCCCGTGTGGAGGCCCGGAGCGCGAGGGAGCCGAGCCCAAGAGCCGGCTGAGCCGAAATACAGACTTGGTTCATTTAATTCACAGCTTAGCCTAATGTGCTGCTGAAGCAGCTCCCGGGCCGCAGACAGAGCGAGGCGAGGAGGCACGGCTGTGACAGGGAGGGGGGGGGGCCCTTTCTCACTGCAGCTTCTGATTATCAAAATTCTTCAGCTTTGACAAGCGCCTAATGAACACAAATCACTCTTTGATTGGCTTTTACTTACTGGCACCCGCGCAACTCAGTGACTACTCCCCCGCCAGCTACAAGGGGAAGGAGGAGGGGAAAAGAGAAACGGCGGGCAAGAGTTGGCAAAGAAGTTATAGCCCACAAAAAGCACTGGCGAGGGACATTCCCGAACTTAAGCAGGGGTGCATTTGTGACAGACAGGGAGTGAAAGAGGGGCTGGCGATAACCGCAATCGACCCCAAATGGTAAAAACCAGAATGCTTTATGAGCACACCTGATCGTCCCCAGCCCATGTCGGACCACACAGCGTCAAGTACAAAGAGGCTTTTTCCACACACGTAACAGCCTTGCAGCGAGTGCAAGAAAGCACAAGGGAAACCAACAACGCAGGCCAGCCTCTCAGAGTTCTGCGGTTTAAGGAGAACTGAACGTTTCTAGAAACACAAACAAGGACTCGGTGAACCGGGGAAGTTTACTCACGTGCAGGCTGGGGTGGTAGGTGAGAACGCCGTTGTCACAGAGGGTGACGTACTTCTTCTTCCACTCCTTATTCAGAGACTTGCCGCTTCTCTTCAGGAGCATCCCCTAAACGGAGGGAAAGAGTAGAACTGAAGAAGCAGCTACCTCAAAATTCAGAGACTTTGCAAAGTTTGCTATACCATTCGGTACAGTTCACCAAAACTGGTGGTATTAAGTTCTTCTATCCTTGTTAAGGCATGGCCATGTTTTGAAGAAGTTTACGTAAGTAGCTGTGCTACCATGCGTAGGCTGCAAAGGAAGAGAAAAAGGTTTATTGCATGGTTAAAAGAAAAGAGAGACAACATTTCGACTGTGGAGCCTTCCTCAGGTGTGAGTCCTTAACTTTTCTTTTCAGCATGGCCACGTAACAAACACCTAACTGTTCTTCAATGCTACATTGCATCTGCATTGTATACCTTATGAAAATCAAGTTTTAAATGAAAGACACCTGCTTTGATCTCCTCTAGTGCATTGATTTAAAGACAGGTGGGGCAGGATTGGAGTGATACCATCTGGGAAAGTTCCATGCAAATAACACCCGCTCCAATAAACAAGACTCTAACCACAAACAAGATTGCAATTGTACCCTGGTGGTGACCTCCGGCTGACCTCTGCTGCACCTGACCCCAGGGAGACAAGGGTGAAGAGCTGCCCACTGCCCTTTGATCATAAACCACATCAAAGGTATTGGGATCACACTGGAACTGGGAGCAAGAATCATCAGATCCTATCTGAGAAGCTCTGGAATGCAGTTTCAAATCTTAAAATCTCAAAGAGGAGGCTCTCCAAACAGCACAGTTCTGGGCTGTTAAGACAACCCTGACGTTAGCCATCAGATTTCTAACCCCCTTATAGAAATACTGCAGCCAGTCTCAGACACTGGAGCTGCTTCAGGTTACATCTCTCATTTCTGCTGTACACTTTCCAGCTAGCTCTTCACATTTTTGTAAAAAGCTACTTTATCAACAAACAGACAGAAAAGACAGAGCTGCAATATGTCATGGGCTGGCTAGCAGAGATTAGGTTACAATGGGTGGCAAAAGAATTCATCCCCTAAGCCGAATACATATCTTCCCCCTACAGACCCCAATGCCAGAATGTAAAAGATTCTACCAGGTGTGTTGTCTGTAAACATACGACAATCTGACAGGAAGTTTACTGAATCACAGCTGCAAAAAGGCTATGCTGGGCTAGAGAAATCACTGCTGTAATTGCAGAGAGAGAGCAGAAAAAAGCAAACGATTCCCCAGCAAACCCATTATTTACTAATTATTTAATTGCTCCCAAATCTTCTAAATTTGTTTGAAGGCAAAACTGCCCCAAGGTGCTAAGCAATACCTTCCATTTCATCAAAACTGACTAGTCTTGCTGAAATCATTTTTAGCAATGAGACCAAGAGAGAAAATTATCTAAAAACTGCGCAATGAAAAAGGAAAAGACAAGGAATAAAATATCCTGGAGTGGTTCCTAAAGTGTTAGCTACGCATTTTTATTTTAGTGAAGAGCTACATACAATGGGCTATTTAGTCCTTGTCCTATTTAGTCCTTTATTCAGTAAATCTTGACTAGTTTAAATGTTGTTGTTTATTCTTAAAAAGTATCAATGTGTATATATTTATAGCGTACAGTAAGCACAAGCCAGTAAGAGAAGCTGTCTGATAAAAACACTCACGTCTTACAAAGTAACGTTAGGTCCAACCATAGCCCTAATAAAAGGGCATATCACTGTCTCATTGTAAAGAAAACTCACTACCCGCTAAATAAATTTGGTGAACTGTGCTCAAAGATTAAATAATAACTGGCCTGCTGAGTGTCAGAGAGCCTTGAAAGTAGCTGTCTCAGAGGAACTGACTTTGCGTTGCTCCTTGGTTACTTTCAAGAAGTGCTTACCTTTCTGCGTTAAATATCTTGCAATGTTAATGTAATAAATGTTAAGCGCTATAGGAAATCTATAGCGCAGTATCTCGCTGTGCCCAGAGGCTGTGATAAAACGGCGCTCATAAATTTATATTAAAACCCTGTTCAATAGCAATTATTTACCAACAAAGATTTATTGATCCCTTTTTGGGGGCAGGGGATGGCGGTCAGTAACTGAGCCAATCAGTCACAGGCTTGGGTGGGGGGTGGGGTTGCAGGGGGCTGAGGGGGGGACCGCTGGCTGTGGCAGAATCATGTCCACCATCAAGTGCTGCCAATCGTCGTGGCAACAGCATGGGGCGCTGGTTACAAGAACACGGATGTGGTTGGGAGTTAGGCTAGGCCGGCGAGGCGGGCCGCATCCTGCTCCAGATCGATCCAGCACCCGCTCTGTTCCCAGGCTCGGCTCCCCTGTCGGCAACCTCATCACTGCCCCATCGATTTTAACCCTTCGCAAGGCACAGGCAGGAAAACCCTGCTTTTCCTTTCATATCTGAGGAGTGGCGCTGCCTGATGTCTCCGAAAACAAAAGGGTAATTTACAATCGGTAAATTGCTGGTGAATTGTTAAACGTTTGTTTTGGTAAATCGGCTGAATGATGCACGTGTCCTCCATGACAGAGAGGAAAAAAACAGCGCCTATGTGGTCTTGCCTGTCCTTTGTTGGTCTGCGAGTGGAAAAAAGAACTGGGGACTGAAAAATGCTGCAATGAACGTAGTCTCTCACCTCTGCTTGACTCGTCTACAACCAGGGTCAGCAGGTAAGATGACACACTGAGCAGCTGTAGGGTCTGGATGAACATTCATTATTTTCATTAGCGGATACAGGAAAGAACTCTGCCTCCTCTTACCCGGAGCCCTGTGACTGTTTTACTGCCACTTAGCTTCTTATTTTCCACCTGTATTTTTTAATCAGCATCATTATCTACTGCGTGATCTTTAAAAAAGCCACACTGCAGCATTATGGTAGGATACTAATTAACTTTACCATGATCGGGGCAGTGAAGGAGACCAAATACTCCCCAAATCACAGTTTTCTGTACATTTGGAAAGGCTTTAGAAATTCCACAATACATTAAACGGTACAGTCGTGATTGACACACCAGAATCCCCTTAAAAGATAAAAGGGAACTGGGAATGAAAGTTTTTCCTCAGGTTAAACTGATTATGACCCAACTGTGTTAAAAAAAAAAACTTATTTAGCCATTAAGGGCCACAGCTCTGACCATTACAGCACTCTCCTACGCAAATCAGCCCTGGATGACTGACTGTTTAACACGCGGACGCCCACACTTCATTTCAGCCAAATTCATTAGGCAAAGAGGGGAATAAAACTGTCCACTGATTAGCAATTACAGTGTATTCGCTACATGTGTCACATCGCTGGACTTGTTAAACATTAACAGTAAAGACAAGGAAAATTAATAGACACCAACAGTTGAGGGAGACAGCACGCAAATGAAGTAACAGAGGCGCTACACAGGAAACATGGGACTCCGCACCTCATAAAGAAGTAAAAGCCCTCAAATGAATTGTGTATGGCTTCACTTGCGGATACGAGCACAAATGCTAATATTCTAAAACGTTCCTTATCGTAATCTGTAAGACACACAAAACCCTCTTTAGTGAGAAACGTTTAAATAAACTGATCATTGTTACAGTTTTGGCATGTTATTTTTAGTTAGCCTTTACTATATCCTCTATTTTTTAAAGTGATTTAATCATACAATGTGTATATTAAAACAGAATGATCGTGGTTTGAATGATTTGATTTGAAGGGCTGTTAACAGATGTAACAAAATGTAAATATCATGAAGTAACATGAACTTTAAAAATACTGAAAGGAACAGCCATTCCAGTGTTCTTAGCCTCTCTGATTCAAGGTGGGCCGCTCAAGAGGAACAGGCTCTTGAAGAAAATGACACAGACAGAGACTTTCAGAACTAGTCTGTTTAAATAAACTACGGATTCATTTCAGCACTTCATTTGGCTCTCTCTTCATTTTTTTTAAAGCAACGCAGTCAAGAGCAGAGGGATGAAAGTGTACTCGGCTCCTGATGGCTCTGGATCTCGTGTGCTGCGCTGCCTGGATCTCCTCCCCTGCGTGTTCCGCGTAGACCGGCTCACTAATTGAGTCGCTCCGGCGTCTCTGTCGGACCCGGGGTCAGGCTGTCGCAGAGCCCCCGCTGCCCCGCCATCTGACCGTCGCCTCTTGTCCCACTCCGGTCGCGGCCCCTGCGTGACCCAGTTCGTCATTAGCGCCATCTCTACCGCAGGCGCGGATCACACGGCCGCCGGCTTCAAACGCACCGGAGAGACCCCAGAGCGGCTCACCTCCTCAACCAGCTCAAACAGAAAATAATTGGCTGATCTATTACCCTCTCCAGCGCCTGGCAGTCATTTGCACCACGAAAGGAACAGCAATGAGCCTCGTTGACTCGCTTGCCACTCTTGCAAAAAAAACAACACCACGTCTTTAATTGTTCTGACAATTTTCTGTACATGCTCTTATTTTGGAAACTAAGAAAATTCAAACGTTTACTACAGTTCCAGCCAACAAAGTCCCAGAAGAAAGTGAATAAAAGTTTTAAAAGAAACACTGGGAAAGTGAGCATGTAAACTGTAGCTAAGTTACCAGCCTAAATACAGCAGTACGTTAATTGCTAAAATGACCCCTTAAGACAATATCAGGTGGGTCGAATGGACATTGTCCAGACAGAGAGCCGATCTCCTCAGTGGCCCGGGCAATTTCATCAAGACACGATCGTGAGAACAATCTGCAAGGTAGACAAATCCAGCAACGGCTCAATACTAATCCCGTCCTGAAGTTGAAGCAAGTTAGTATGTACCTCAAACTAAAATGTCAAAATATTGACTATGTTCACTAAAACAAAAACAACCCCCATTCAACAAAAGCACACATACAAATTTCTGATGAGAGCCAGCTTACATCCAATTTGATCACAACCTGACAAGATGCAATATCTTCCCTGCCATGAAGGTCATTTACACTAGGGCTAATGAGGTGACAGTCCTCTGAGCCAATAGCACTGCATCCCTGTTTGCGATGAGTTTAAGATGTGGTGAGTTGGATGTAAAAACAATAACCATTCCAGTGGTGCAGTAAATAGAATATGACGAGGGCTTTAA